AACGCACAATTCACCGCGCGCGCCGGCTGATCGAAGTAGGTCCCGACATCGCATGCCAACATCATCAAGGCCCTTACGAGGAGGCGTAAGCCGCGACGTCACAATGTGATTTGTCGCCGTACACGTCTCCACTCCTTAACGTAGGATGTGAGGAAATCTTCATACTGCGTGGTAAATCCTTGATGTCCCGCGCAAAAATATCGAAGCACACAAAAATGCGCCCATTTCCAAATTGGAAATTTCAATGTACTCGTGTTCGATCCGCAGTGACGACGTTTTTACTGACACTTATTCAACAGCGCATAATATCTATACTTGACATATTCAGGGATGAGCAGCTCGCTGCTGATTTGGTAGTCTACTAGCAGTGTTTGTGAATCCTCGTTCACCCCGAGGATACTTATCTTCCATGGCACAAATCGGAAAGGGAAGTAGTGTTGTTTTGTGATGTCTTGGACTTATGAATAGATCAGAGTCTCCGTTTCCCACTACCATCTGGAAGTGTCCGATATGACTCTTACTATTAATTTTACTATTACTCACTACTACTACTACTACTACTACTACTACTACTACTACTACTACTACTACTACTACTACTACTACCACTACTACTACTACTACTACTACTACTACTACTACCACTACTACTACTACTACTACTAGCAGCTCATTCGTGGACGAGTCAGTTGCCATTCTGCCAACAGCCGAATCGTCGTACCTCGTCGCTGCAGTGAACGAGTTTATATATTCCACCTCTGAATATTCGACATCACCAACCCTTGCATATATGCCTGCTTCAGGTTAGAATAACTCTTACTCTCCAAAGAAGTGTCTCTGTCCATGACCGTTTGAATGTTTCTAAGTATTTGAGCCCCCTTTGCCGAAAATTGAGTTCGTTGTGTTCGTTAATATGCACTTGTAATATCCCCTCAGCCTTCTTAGTGAATTCGATCTTGTATTAACTAAATATCACCAATAAGTGCCAAGTATATATTACGATATTAATTTCACATTCTTCGATAAGAATCGAACCGGACACCTCCTAATGTACAGTCGAATGTGTTACCATTTCACCATAGGAACGTGTTGAAAATTGTATAAAGTCGACATCAGGTCGTTCTTCTCGGGACTGCTCTTGGCATGAGCGCTGCGATACCACTTAAATTACTATTCAACAGTATAACCCTTGTGACACGGGAGTGTGGTTGAGGAATCACGTAACGGTAGAGAAGCACCAACACAAAACCCGGAGCTAGCGGGCTCCGCATTGTTGACACTGCGTTACCGCGACGTGATTGTTGTGTGAAGGTACCAAGACCGTCGCACAGCTCCCGGGTCGGAAGGGTTGGGAGAGAGGAACTAGAAGGTTCCTTAGCTGTATCACGTTAACTCACACCGCAGCATATTGTTACGCCACGGATTGATTTGCACGAACGCGCACAGCCATTTGTCTTCTGCGTGCGAGACGCACGCGTAATAATTGCGTGTAGAAGGAGGGGGGACACTCCCTGTGTCCGCTCAGGTTTTACTCACGCGACACTGCGTTTGCTATCATGGAAGTTGGGAGACACCTCCAAAGCCCCCACCCTTTGAAAGCGTGAACGTTTATGGGAACATTTTCGGATATTTTGCCCCCGTGTAAAACAGCCGTTGACAATACAGATTGTTCTCAGTGATAGTGTTGAATCCATGATAACAGCAGCAGCAGCAGAAACTGAGGAAGGAGTGGTACCAGAAGAGCCCCTGTCGGGCAACGAGCCTTTGGAGGCAGCAACCCTCAATGCTGAAGTTGTTGTTGATGATGATGACGATACCCTCACTTTGAAGGAGATCAGATGCAGAAGGTGACGATGGAAATTATTGGAGTTAATTCAGAATTTTTGCAGATTCATACAAAATACTATAGTAGAGCTTCATCCTAGTGATATGAAAAACAGCAGTAGAAACATATTTTACGACTACTACACACCGAATTTTACGACGCCACTTCGCGTAAAACGGGTTGTGAAACTCCATTGTATAATAACATATAGAAAATATATCTATACATGAAGTGCAATAGAGTCTGGAAAAAGGTTCAATCTGATCATTTTCATAATTTCTGGTGTCAGCGATGCGTGATTTTGCTATTATAATCCTGATTATGAAAAAAAAAACCAATATTTTCATAATGATGATGGGAATCGCATTAGCTGCGATCAGAATTATGTCGAATTGACACCCGGTTGCTGTGGCAGGTTCTCTCATAAAGTGGCTTCGCTGTTATCGTCATCTGCTGCTGTTGGTGACGGCAATACGATCATTCCTAAGGTGAGTTTATCACTCATAAGAGTGTTGAAAAATATGCACATGGTCAACTACATTATGTGTTGGTGACAATTTTGATAATTTTTTGTTGGTTTTTTTGTACACTTCTACTCGAATTCGTATGATCAGCTGAGGAAAGCGATTACATATATTCCTACTCCAACACTGTATAGGAAACTCCTGAGCTCAGTAGCTGAGGAAAGCGATTACATATATTCCTACTCCAACACTGTATAGGAAACTTCTGAGCTCAGCAGCTGAGGAAAGCGATTACATATATTCCTACTCCAACACAGTATAGGAAACTCCTGAGCTCAGCAGCTGAGGAAAGCGATTACATATATTCCTACTCCAACACTGTATAGGAAACTCCTGAGCTCAGCAGCTGAGGAAAGCGATTACATATATTCCTACTCCAACACTGTATAGGAAACTTCTGAGCTCAGCAGCTGAGGAAAGCGATTACATATATTCCTACTCCAACACTGTATAGGAAACTCCTGAGCTCAGCTGAGGAAAGCGATTACATATATTCCTACTCCAACACATGTGTTTGTGACAATATGAAAATTGTGAGGAAATTCTTGTTGGTTTTTCTGTACACTTCTACCCGAATTTGTATGTAATCTTTTATAATTAATGAGCTTATTTCCCAACACTGGAGTTTGTGAATAGTATATATTCCACGACTACTGCATATCACCGCGAATAATAACGCGTTTTCCACACTGCGAGAATATTCTCCGTTTTTTCTCTTAGACGGGTACGACCGGTCTGCCTCCATTTTTACGTTCCTATGGCAGCACGTCTAAGCGCGAGGAACGACTTATGCACTACCTCCAGTAAGATGAGCATTTTTTGAATATTTTCTGGTGATGATCGTTTTTCAGAGAATTTGAGATTAAATTTCGGCAGACGTACGGAGGGGAAAGGA